TTACGGTTACTTATGATTAAGGATTTTCGACAGAATCCGAAACGTCAGGAAAATAAGATTCTTGTTTCAGTGATCGCATATTCTTCTTCGGTAACTTATTTGTATGCTTTGTTGCACAAATTGCACTGTTTTTTCGCGGTGAGGCTCAACTTTTACAAATTCCATTACAATCATTCCCATTTGATACAGTCCTGGGGTTGGTGGTGGCTTAGGGGACTTAAATTACCTACCGCTGCCACCAGTCTGGCAAAAGCATATGCAGTGTAGCTAAACAGAGACGCAAGCGAGTATCTTTCAATCTATCCAATGAAACTGCGGACTTCTCGCTTCCTATCTAAAAGACACTAGATTGGTCTGCCATTTGAAGGTTACTCTTATGCGTCTGGTAGGTTGCTTAGGGTTGCTGCTTAAAGATAGCCAGTTCAAAATGCCTTGAGCAAAGTCATGTGATCCCATTTTAAAGGCGCTAAAAAAAGAAGCAGGAGGAAAAAAGAAGGTATTTACTCGGAGTGCATTGTTCTCGTTTGCGCAGTCAGTTATTTGTACCTCCAACTTCTTCTTGCTGGTACGCGCATCGTTTTCGGCCTTCTTCATTTCATCACGAACTCCGGCAAGATCCTGAAGAAACGAAGCGCAAAAATCAGTAAGTCACACTGCTTTCACGTCACTCCTCGCCAGTGGGGGACTTGCCCTCTTATCCTAGAGGTCAGCTTCAATATTTTAACAATAGCATGCCTACAGGTAGCCGAAGGTGTTACGAAGGGCTTCTAAAAGGGTCTACAGTACGCGACCTACCTGATGAAAGGTGCCAAAACTTACGAACCACTGATACTCGTTGATGAACGCTCACTGACCGTTTGTGGCATTCATTCGTTCCGTCCTGCCTGGGGGCTCATTCCAGAGGTCCGCCAGCAGCCGCACGGCTGCTCGTAGCATAGTGTTAAAAACCAACTGAAACTCGTCTACTTGTGTGCAAAAAGGCAGTGGTGCAACCGGATTCAGGTAGGTACTGCAAACGCGTTTCCAAAAACTACGATATATTGGTTGGGTGTCCCTGTAACGGCGTTCCGGATTCATAAATGTGGCTTAAATTGAGGTTAACAACTTTTTTGTATCAATGTCACTGCGACGTACTTTTACAAACCCGGATTCAGCGCAGCAGAGTAATCCCGGGTAATGTTATATTGTATCGTAGCGCATATAATTTATTGATACTCGCACATATTTCATCATTCTTCAACAAGCATCAAGCACAAAACGAACCGGAAAGAAGTGTATTCAGAAGCCGGATCATTCGTTAATGAAACATGGTTGAAGCTTCCTGTTCTGACCGTTCAGTTCAGCTTTTTTAAGGGGAAGATAGAAGAACGTCTTTGAGCTGCCTATTACTAACGGAATGGCTAAGGAATGTACCGATATAGAAGAAAAATTCAAAAAGAAGTCGTTTACATAACTGCAGGCGGAAAGCGAGCAGCCGCCGGTTAGTCGAAAAAGTGTAAACATACACGGCTACTCATATATTACGAGTAATAGAATGACATGTAGTTGCCTGATCGCATTAAATAGCGTGTAGCTGGAGAATGAAAAGTTTGATGCATGTCTAGTTTGTTCTTAAATGAATTTACACAAATGGAGAGAACAACATCTTCCGACATTGTTTGAAGTATGCAAAGCTTGAATCCCTAAATAGATACGGGTGGAGGGCAAGAATTGACCTTCGTTCATAAGCACGTTTGACAGCCTCTGTAACCTTACCTTCCAGGCAAATAGCTGATAAAAAGATGGATTTAAAAAGAAGGATTTTATTCACAATTAGCGAGCTGCATTTAAAACATCCGACAATTTCTGAAAAATGCATCGTAGACAGCTGTCAGCACCTTTAGTGCTATGGTAGACGGACACTCGAAGAGTGCGTTAGGGAACATATTCGTCCCGCTGTGCCTTTAGGCTCTATCTAGAGTTTCATTGGCAGCTGCGCGGTGGCTAGTATAAGAGGCGGAATTACATTATCGAAAAGACAGAGGGGACTGAAATTGCCTTTCCTAACCACCAATAGGACAACAAACACGTGGCTTGATGGTTAGAGCATTGGAAGCCTAAGCAACAAGTCACGAATTCGAGCCTTAGGAGTTGAAAACTTTCGAGTTGGGTGTCGCTGGATGAAGAGAGCTGATAAGCTAGAAATGAGCATTCCAGTCAGGCATGTTATTCTGCCTAAGCTTAGCACCTTCGAATTTGCTTACCTTCTTCAGGTTTCTAATTGTGTCCGTTTGATCATCAATTATCTTTGTTTTGACGCGGACGGTTTCCCTGGCTGCCTGGTAAGAGAAGAAAACAGAAGAAAGTGGGTTACTTTACAGTCAAACATTTAAACAACAAAATATTTTTAAAAGATGCAGAACTTATTTTGTACAGACCGCAATGGGGACGCTGACAGGACAGAGAGATGATAACCACCGGAAGTACAAACAGTGTTCATTTTTCTCTACTGTGATCGCACATTTTGATCACGCATTGGTTCGACTGAGCACAGGAGACCCTATCACAGCGGTCTTAAAGAACCAGTGCTAGAAAACTGCTTAAGACAAATTATGTCCACTGAGCTGTCCACATTGTCATAGCACATTTAGAAATCACATGGGCGCAATTCGGTTATGTAAGCATACTCAGCAACAAGTACTAGGAGAGCACCAATCAACCTATTAGCCATCGTTCACAGAACCTGCCAATGTTAGAAAAAAATAGTGGGAGGGTAGGTGTGGATGTTTGAGTGTGTCAAGCGATAGACAGTAGCTCACCCTATGTCGGCCACTGTGTGCAGTCTCGTCATCAATCGGTTTGAGGACTCCTGAACTAGTCATGATACGCTAAAAATGATGGTTTATAAAGATGCCAGTAGACGAGATACCTCGGTCCCCCATCGAAATGA